TTTCCACCAATTTTTCTTCTAATTTCTTTATAACTGAAGCCTTGTTCACTTAATAATACTATTTTACATCGCTTTCTGGGCAACCAGTTAACTATTTGCACCATTACTTTAAGTTTATTACATTTTACAAGCTCACTAAATGAAAGAAAAAAAACCCAACCAACTTGATAGTGAGCACCTAATACACTGACAAATGTCCTCTCAGCTTCAATATATGATATCAATAACTTACTCCTACTGTGATCTGATTGGCTCATTGCCAAAACAAGATGACACCTGATTGGCGCTCTAAACACTCATGCTCATTGGCTACAGTCAGCTGAAGGAAAGCTATCTGATATCAACCTAAGCAAGTTGTGCTTCCTTTTTCTGGTTATTTGGCTATAACGTTTCATAGACTACAGTACAGATAATTGAACAAACTATGTTGCATTACATTCTTGATTAAATTATATTTCCATTGATATATAATTTTATGGTACTATTCCAAAAAAAGTGGTGTTATTAGCCATCAAACCTCAAAAATAGACTTTTCCCAAAAGGTTTCTACTATTTTGGCCACTACTGTAGATGTCTTTTTGGAAATCCCAACAGAAACTGGCACTTTAGCTGATCAGAGGATTTCTACAGTAATCTTACTCTTTTTGGTTATAGAATATTTTCTGGAAGACTGTATTCAAATGACTAAATTTATTCCTCCACCGAAGGATAAGAAAAAGAAAGATAAGGATGAAGAAGGTACTGAAGATGATGATGTAAGTATGTTGTTAAGGATTTTTAGTCCAAATAAAATTGCAATATTGCTTATAAAAGCTAGAATTATGATGATAAAGCATGCATGGTTATACATCTTTTATAATGGCATATGTCTTTGTATAGTGCGTTGAGCTTTATTATTTCTTGTTATACTAAGCAAAATAAAGTATATACTGTTTCTATTTGAAACATAGGGCACTTTATATTGAGCTAATAGTGGACTTAGGACAAATATTTTGAGTCAGTCATTGCGGTCCGTTTTGATTTGCTCATGTGTCTTTCTGCTTTTTCAATCTCCCAGCAGTGATTTGCATAATAATAGTACTGTCATTAGTGTTAATATTATATATAAAAATTTTCTAATAGAAGAGGACATGCATGCCTTAGTTGAATGGTGGAATCATTTGTGCTCTCTGAGCTTCGTTATTTGCATACGGACATTTCATTCATTATTTCAATTTTCCTCTAGGCAAATTGCAACCTTATCTGTAGCGATGAATATGGCCCAGAAACAAAAAGCCGCATGGCCCAGATGAATGAGAAGGAAACTCCTTTTGAACTCATAGAGGCTTTGTTGAAATATATTGAGACCTTGAATGCCACTGGAGCAGTCCTTGTCTTCTTGCCTGGCTGGAATCTGATATACACTATGCAGAAATACCTGGAAATGAATCCACACTTTGGTACAAGCAATTTTCAGCTGTATTTTTTTTTTACTTCCCCCCCCCCCCGCTGAGGTGATCATAAAACTGAAAGAGCTTTCCTTATGTATGGAGGAGTGAAACCTATTTATTTATTAAATTTATATGCCACCCATCTCACTGTCTAGCAACTCTGAATGTCTAATTGCTGAAAAGAAGATGTACTATTTAAAATAGGAGATATACAAATGAAATAAGCTTGCTTAAAATATTTTCCTTCTTCCACTCTTACTGTAGGAAGCCAGAGATACCGAGTTCTTCCTCTGCATTCCCAGATACCCCGAGAAGAGCAGCGCAAAGTATTTGATCCGGTGGCCCCCGGAATCACCAAGGTGAACCTCTTGGAATAGGTGTAGCTCAACCATTTCCAACTTGCAGCCTTCAAGTTGTTTTATAATGGTTGTTCCTGGAATTTGTATAAAGCATGGCACTGGGAAGGTGTAATCCCAGCACATTGGGAGAGTTCGGGTGGGAGGGTGCGTTTGTGAATGCAGCCTTGTATTCAAGCATACAATATTGTTTGTCTCCCTAGGTGATCTTATCAACCAATATTGCAGAGACCAGCATAACCATCAATGATGTGGTCTATGTTATTGATTCTTGCAAGTGAGTTCTGAAACTGCTTCCTGTACTTGTGTTTGCTCTCTTCATTGCATTTAATTTTAGTCCCTTTTTTTTTTTTTTTTGGCTGTGCTTTCTGATTTCCGCTACTGGATTTGCATCTGATCTATGTTCTCAGACACTCAAGTGTCCATTTGCTGCAGTATTGTCAACACTGCAGATAATTCATGTTTCTTTCTCCAGTTTTAAATTCATGCTTGTCTTTTTTTTCAGTCCAGCTTTGTGTTGTATATAGCAGCATATAGATTTGACGACAATGATGAGAGCTGAATAACTAGGGAGAAAGTATGTAGCCATGTCTAGCTCTTTGCCAATTTGGAACCAATCTGTTTCACCAAGATTATGATCTTATGTCCTGTTTTTAGATTTATCGTTAGAATAATTAGATGTTCTAGTAGCCCATTTTCCTAATGACAGTCCACAGGTTGTTGTGGTCAAGACAATCGTATCAACGCTGTAAACATTGGATGTTCCTGCTCTGACAACTGATGAAAATCGCAGCCATTTTCGCTTTGCTTTTAACATGCTTTTTCTTCTATTTAGAAGGGGGGCTGGGATGAATGCTTGAGCTCAGCTAGAAATAATAATAACTCTGCTTTGTGGGAACCGAAGCAGGCTGAGGAGCTGGAGACAAAACCGGTGTTTCAGGCTAATTGGAGAATGATTTATGACAGCTTATTGGGGGTGTGAATTGCAATTTGTTACTTTGTATCGGAGGAAGGGAATCTAGTTTTTGGGTTCAACTACGTAGTGCCAATACTTTGTTTCCTGAATAAAATGTTCTTTGAGGGAGAATTCTTGCCTTGAAGTTCTTTTAATGGGTTTCATCTATCGGAACCATGGCAAATCGAGTGCTTTTCAATGAATGACATGTTGACAACTTTTTGGCATTCTCTGACTTTCTGAATTATTAAGCATGCAGTGCTGATTCATATTCCTTAGCCTTTATTGAAACACATTTGAGAAATAGGTACTTCTGTTTTCAGGTGGGGCCTTAGTCCGTGTTAAATGATCTTGAGATTACCTTGCTAGCATATGAAATTAAGGATTTTGTGCAATAGTTTTTGCAGTCTATTAAGTTTCTTTTTTATTATTATTAATATGTAGACTTCTAATTTTTGGCCAGTGTTGTTTTTTCACATTTGTTGGTGTAATGTAGTTAGAGCCTTAAGTGAGTCTTTTATATCAGAGTTCCCCAACTTTTTAGATTTTGCAGACTGGCAGAGGGTGTGTGTGTCAGAGGGGATGGTTCTACGTGCCTGCCGCTCGTGTGAGTGGGGATGTGTGCGTGCGGTCTCGCCTGCCACTTCTGCAGCCTGGTTCTGAAAGGTTCAAGGACTGGTAGTGGGCTGCAGCCCAGGGGTTGGGGACCCCTGTTTTATGTGCTGTATTTTTATAAGCAATATATCGATTCCGGTAGCCTTTCCACTTAGTAATAAGCAGAGAATACGTCTCCGTTGCCTGTAGGCAATAGTCTTCAAAAGTATCTTGGAAGTTGGCATTTGTGTTGTACAGATTTTCATTATTATACTACATTATGTACAGATTTTCATTATTATACTACATTATGTACTATTATAATTCTATATCTGATTTTTTTTCTCCACTAACATCTGTTTATTGGCATCATTTAACAAACTACTTCAGATTGAAGTGTTCTTCTGAATTCCAAGATGCTAGAAAACTTCCCTTGTTTTTCCATATCTCTTTCCATCTTCAGTCTCTTTGTAGATATCATTATATTACTTCCCGTTATCTCCTAGCAGTTTTTTTGAAATGTCTTAGTAAACTCCTTCACGAGATCATTAACTTTATTGATTTGGGTTGCTTCTTCAGCAATTTCCACTATCTAGCCTAACATACTTTTTAATTTCTTGTAATTCTTAGGGTTTTTTGACAGTCTCTTTAACATTTTTTTTTTATTTGAGCCCACAGTTGCTCATCAGTGAGGTTTAGGGCTTCTGAGTTGATCTCAGCACTCTCCTTAAAGCTGGTTGGATATGCTTTGAAGATCATAATTTAGAAGCCGGATAGCTTTCTTCTTTTGTTTTAGCTTGATTTTGAACATGCACTTGAGCAATGATATTGTTGTAGTTTTCTTACAAGAAATCATGATACAGTAATTATTTTTACTTAGGTTTAGACTAGGTTAAGTTTCAGATTCACATTTTTCATCTCGATTTGGTTCCCCTTCTTTTTGTTCAGGCTTTTCATTGTACCACCTGTTTCTTTTCCTTAAGCAAATAAAAGAAACCAGTGAAATAGGGCAGGAGATCTGTAGAGAAGTAGCAAATGGACAAGATAGAAGAGTCAGGGTTTGAATGAAATTGTAGCCCACATAGCTGTATTAGCTTCAGACGAAGATCAAATAGACTAATTTTAATTTCAGTTTGAAAAGCTTATCTCAAGTTCAGCTTCTGATATCTCTGTACATAGGTGCATGTCCTTGGCTGCAGTACAGACTTTGGTTGCCATTTCCATTCTGGGGGAGAGGTGGATGAATGAATGACTTCCTAGTGCAGCCTTCAGATTTTCTGACACTCATCCACATACTAACCAAATTCATTCTTACTCAGTTTTTTTCCCCCCAAGATCTACTATGGTCACTTAGGTGCCGTCGCCTGTTAAGGCTAGTAGGGTTCACAACATTGTATCTAACAAGATTGATCTTGCCATTCACTGCAGAATATTATCCAGTGCTTTTTTTTTTTACAAGTTTGGGATGCTGCCTCTTGTTTGTAAAAGTGATCTCCCAATGTTAAGGAGTTAATTTAGTATTTTTTCCAACCCACAGACAGAAAGTTAAACTATTCACTGCTCATAACAACATGACCAATTATGCCACTGTGTGGGCCTCAAAAACGAATCTGGAGCAACGGAAAGGACGGGCTGGTCGTGTCCGTCCTGGATTCTGCTTCCATCTTTGCAGCAGAGCACGTTTTGATAGGTAGGCTCATACTCTGCGCTTCTAGATATTCTGGGGTCTGTTAAGTAATTGATGTGGAAAAAGAAATCGAAACCCAGCTGAGGCAAGAGGAATTAAGAGTGTGGGATGGGTAAGGGTATACTGTATGTGACGTGCAGTCACTGGTACCGTGTGAGCCAGCAGCAGATTTCTTACAGCATTAATAACTGATAGTGCAAAGCAGGTTTATGTATTTGTTGTATGACATAGCAGTAGTTTTTATAAAGAGTTGTGGGATGAGAAGGTAAATATCAAAAACAACTTGGAGGTCATTATTAGCGAGAGATTGTAGCGTGAGCTATAGAGATGAATATACCCAAAATGTCCCCTCTCTTTCAGACTTGAGACTCATATGACCCCCGAAATGTTTCGAACACCACTGCATGAAATCGCTCTGAGCATCAAGCTGTTACGACTAGGCGGGATTGGACAATTTCTGGCCAAAGCTATAGAGCCGCCCCCTTTGGATGCAGTGATTGAAGCTGAGCATACACTCCGAGGTATCTGTCTTGTCAATGAAAATACGGTGCATATTTTCATAGCTCCTGTTGGTTGGTGAAATGAAATCCAGTTTGTTTGTTTATCCGATTTATATTGCTGGCCTTCTAGGCAAAACTTGGGCATCCAAGAAGAGAAAAGCACATGGGATTCTGTTAAACCAAGAAACTAAATAAAGCTACATTGAGGCTCAGTAAAGCTACAACATCACTAATCATATACACTTGTACCAGAGCCCCCATATTAACATCCTGACTCCAGTAACTGAGGCAAGATTCATGTCTTCTCGGACTTGCAAAAGATCAATAGAGTAGAGGTAGCTATGTTTCAAAGGGGAAGCTGTTCCATAGGGCAGGGTTAATACCATATAAGATAGTGAATATGTACTAGTGTTGTTGTCATGACATTTAGAAGGGCGTCAAATGTTTACTCTGGGCATAAAGCTATTAGTTCATATAGTAACTAGGAATAGCTTAATGTAGGTAGCTGTTAAGCTTAGCATCTGTTTTTGATGCCTAAATGAATTCCCTCTAGCAGTTACATTGCTTTTCATCAAACTGGTGGAGGCTGTTAACTGTATCTTTGCAAAATCCCAGAACAGATTTAATTCTTCTTTTGTTTCTAAAATGGTGCCTTTTGCATTCCCAGGTCCTGTAATTTCTACGTCCCTTTCTGAAATGTCATTCACACACATCTCTTTCAAAAACCTTTTGACTTGTGCTTTTCAATTTGCTTGAGGCTTTGCTATTACATAGCACTCTGATCTGTTCTCAACAAAATTCCTAATACAGGATGGTTTTCTTCTTCCTAACTAATCCTATATTAGGGGTTTGATCAGCTGTGGACCTTCTAATTACCAAAATTGTTATCTACTGAACAACACAAATTGCACTTTTCTTTATCTGAATCACTTGACTCTGCTTGGACTGGTCTACTTTGTATTGGTCTACACCAGGGGTAGGCAACCTTGGCTCTTTTATGACTCATGGACTTCAACTCCCAGAATTCCTGAGCCAGCATAGTTGAAGTCCACGAGTCATAAAAGAGCCAAGGCTGCCTACCCCTGGTCTACACAGTATACTCACTCTTACAAATTTTTATTAATTTTCAAATAAATTCTTAATACAAATATGGTGCACATCACCAAAAAAAANGCATCCACCCTCTCTTTCACCCTTCCTACCTACTTCCCTCTTCCTTTCCTCCCCTCCTACCCACACCTCTCTCCTCTTTCTCTTCCAACTACCCTACACATCCCACCTCCTTCTTTTCCTCAACCTTCGGATGCAGTTTGGGGGTACTAGCCGACCACCTTCTCTTCACAAAGAAAAAATTACATTATTTCTCTATAACATATTAATACACCAAATTTTATATAACTCTACCCCCTTCCCCCCTCCCCCCCCAGACTTCCCAGAACTGAATACAGGGATAAGCACATAACATCCCAAATCTAAATAAAGCTACCCAAACATAATACAATCAAATATTAACATACTTTAACTCTAATATACAATAATAAACATAAAGTCTACACAGTATACTGAATGGAAAAGAGAAGAAAAGTTAAATCACTTGAGGTATAGATTTGAAAACCTCTCATTTGTGCTGTTTTATGTCCATTTCAGAGTAGCAAAACTAAATGTCTAATTTGCTAAGTTATGTTATCACTTCAGTCAGAGATCAACATTTGAACACAGATAATATGCAAATAAAAAAGTCAAGGTGTTTTCACAACTTCGTAAGAATTGTCATTACAAGGACCCAATTACAGTCTACAGAATTGAGCATTATATTTTCAACAGTATTCAGCACTCCTTCCCATTTGGAAAATTAATGAGCAGGGCGGCAGCAATGTATCAGCCTTTTATTTCATTTTCACCTTCACAGATTTAAATATTTCACCACAATAACTGATGAAAAAAAAAGTAGTTGAAAACTACACGAGGTTTTACTTACGCTTTTTTTTTATTTTAGAGCTTGATGCCCTGGATTCCAATGATGAACTGACCCCTCTTGGGAGAATTTTAGCAAGGCTCCCCATTGAACCTCGACTTGGCAAAATGATGATAATGGGGTGCATATTTTAGTAAGTGATAATAAATTCAAAAGTAGCTGGGGGGAAAAGGAGGGGGGACTCTGGAAGAAGAGAATTGATTTTCTGATAAAGTCATGTTTACCTAGGAACAATAAAGTGAATCTCACCAGCAGTCTCTGTCCCCTTCGTTCCTTCTGCTCAGGAGTGCCATTTGTTATATTGCAGTGTAGCTCAGCTGATTTTCTGCTTTTTCTTTCAGTGTTGGTGATGCCGTGTGTACTATCTCTGCTGCCACCTGCTTCCCTGAGCCATTCATCAGTGAGGGTAAAAGGCTGGGTTACGTGCATAGGAATTTTGCTGGAAATCGGTTCTCCGATCACGTGGCCCTGCTCTCAGTCTTCCAAGCCTGGGATAATGCAAGGTAGTTTGATTTAGGGCAACACATAAGGCATCCCACTTTATATAAAAAAGCTCAGCATATTACCCTTCCATGGAGTGGCTTGACTGATTCTTACCCATTTTCTTGCAGAATGGGTGGAGAAAATGCTGAAATTCGTTTCTGTGAGTTTAAGAGACTCAATATGGCAACACTCAGAATGACCTGGGAAGCCAAAGTACAGCTGAAAGAAATTCTGGTTAACTCTGGATTCCCAGAAGGTAAAAATAAAAGAAAAACTTTGTACGAACGTGAAGGAAGCTCCTGCTTACCGACCATTAGATTTGTAACCATTCCAAGAAAAAAAATAACTTTATGGCCCGCTTACGATTTTCACAGTGTCCCTCAATCACATGATCACCATTATACTCAGCATGCATTGTCCTGTGCCTATGCTTTGATGGGGTTTTTTTTCCTTTTTCCTTCACTTGCAGAGTAGAAAGAGTGGAATTTGATTTCAGGAGAGTAAACTGATGCTCTTCTACACATCAAAAGCAATGCAGTCATACCAGCAGCTGTGGCCTAGGAGCCAGAGTCACTTTACACAAATATGTTACTTTTTCTCCAATCTCTCCACTCTGCAAGGGTGGTAGGGGAAAAAAAGGCAAGTGATTTCTGTAGACAGCTCCTTTGCCTAATCCTTCCCCAAGCCCCTCCCCCCATTTAGCAGAGGGATTAGAGAGAAAGAAATTGCAAGAGACTAAGCTGTTTTGCTGCTCTGCACATTGAAAGCAATGTAATTGAGTCAGCGGTAAGGGTCAGGCAAAAGATTGCCTACAGAAATTGCTTACTTTTTTTCTCTCTCCTCCCTCACCCTCACAGAGCAGAAAGATTAGAGAGGAAGAAATGTCAAGATAGTAGTATCAGATGTTTGCATAGCATGCCCATGGCTTCCAGTTATTGATCACTTAGTTTAGCAGTGGAATTGCTGGTCCCAATTACAGTCATTAAGTGTGGGCTACTGTAGCTGTTTGTGGCAGCACTTTCGGGTATTCTGAACCTGATAGACTAAGCTATATTTCTTATTACATATAATTTGATCGTTCTTTAAGGTTTCTGGATGTGGAGGTAGAAAGAGTGAGTGTGTTGCATGTGTGTCTGCCTGCCTGCCTGTATCTGTGTGTGTACCCCCCACACATAAAGATAAATAGTAAATAGTTCTATAACTTGTTCAAAGTCTTGTGATTTCTCTGCAGAAATAATTTCTATCGTTTGATTTCATGTTACTTTTAATCTCATTTTGAAGTAATTTACATAAACACAATCTGGGTTTCAAAGAATATGAGAAGAATTTATGTTCTTCTATACATACTGTAGCTGTTATGTAAAGTATATTGGGGGTTTTTTGCCCCTGAGGAAAAAATAAGCTTTCCATGGTGTACATTATGTTAAAATAATAAGTAATCTTTAATTTATGCATTGCAAACAAAACTATTTAATAGAATATATGTGTGCTTTGAGTTAGAACAGGCATGAATTGAAAAGTTTCAAACATTGAAATACTATTCAGTTTATATAATTAGTTTTGTGTATTGTTGGTAAGATGCTGAGAAATGCCCTTTTTTGGTCTCTTTCTAGAGAGTTTAATGACTCAGGTGTTCAACAACACTGGACCAGATAACAACCTGGATGTTGTGATCTCTCTGCTGGCTTTTGGCCTGTATCCCAATGTCTGCTTTCACAAAGAAAAGAGGAAGATTCTCACTACCGAAGGACGTAATGCTCTCATTCACAAATCCTCTGTTAACTGCCCATTCAGCAGCCAGGATATGAAGTATCCTTCTCCTTTCTTTGTTTTTGGAGAAAAGGTAAAATTATATATATATATTTTAAAAAAGGCCCTTGGACTGTCAAATGTCCATGTAGTCTTTGAATATTGAGATATTAGGTGACACGCAGATTGATCAGAAAGATGCCACTTGTGAATCATTTTGTATGCAGAACAGCTGGTTTTGATTGGTCAGTGCCTGGCCTAAAATATGCAGGTATTAAACTTTGTGTGGAACAAAATGGACCTCTTTTATGGACTAGGCAGGGAAGGGAGGAAAAAGACAAGGACATCAGTGGGTCGGGGAAGAAGGAAAGGTAGGTCATGGTCATATGCCATAGTGGAGCAGTGGTAGCAGGGAGAAGGAAGGGGAGCAGCTCCGAAAATAGGGTTGGAAGAATATACCCCATTGGAAATTGTTAAACAAAGAGGGAGAAATATATACCAGGTTTGCCTCACCTGACCCCAGAACAACAAGTCAGCATTTACATTTTGTCAAAACAGTGGCTGTTTTGAAATGCATTAGCAGAACCTCTGGAACATGCTGGTTTACTGCAGATTCAAAACAATTTATTTTTCTCATTCATTCACACTCCTGGTGATACACATTTGTTTTCCTAATAAAAATGTTTCTATCTGCATGTGAGGATTGCCTGTTTGGTATCAGCAGGTGCTACAAAACCTAATTTTCTTTCCGTTTAATCAGTGCATATATTTTTTATTAATAAATAATTGCTTTAATAATACCAAATTTGCAAAATTGGATTCATGGACGTGTGCTTTGTGGACTTTGAAGAAATTGTGATCTTGTTTCCTGCTTATGTATTTGTTTAATATTTCAATTTTGAGACTGCCCCCTTCCTGGGTGACTTACAGATAAAAATTCAAAGAAAACAAAATTTATATATATAAAAGGACAATGACTAAAACCTTAAAAGTAAAACAGAAACCATCCAAAGAGGCTTTCCCCCCCCCCTTCTAGCCCAGTGCTTGGGAGAACAACCAGATCTTAAGTAGATTGTGGAAAGTCAGACCACTTAACTTTTTAAAGATCCGTGAAGGTCAGGTGGGTACCGTCATTTGCTGGGACAGCACATTCGAGTAAGTTAAAGCATCACATAGATGGTGGTCTTAATACCACTTGAGGACATCCAATGTATGGGAGTCCAATACCTCTCTGAGCAGTTGAGTAAATAATAGAAAGTTGTTATACTTCATATTATACAATAGATTATGTACACATCTTTCTGCAGATTCGGACACGAGCTATCTCGGCCAAAGCAATGACCTTGGTGAGCCCTTTACAGCTGCTTCTCTTTGGCTCAAAGAAAGTGGCATCTGATGGAGAGATTATTACATTAGATGACTGGTATGATCCTTTGGCTGACTTTACATTATAAAGGTGGCAGGGGGGATTGTGAAACTTAGTAACTGGTTTAATTTAAAAGAAATGCGTAAGGAAAAACATAAGCTCAGATTATTCTTGTTTTAAGTGGCATAATACTTTATAGTTAGTTGTTCTTGTTAAATATATGTACTTTTTATTGCTTGGAAAAGAGATGCACTACTGTGCTCTGGTTTCTTTTCCTTCATTGCAACTGAAACTACTGCTTATACAGTGTAACGTTGGTCTTTAGAACAAGACATTCAAGTTCTCTTGTGCAGTATCTTTTCAGGAGTCTCTTCTTATAGAAGTCTAAGATGCTTAGTAGATAGGAAAAGAAATTTTCATTTGCTAAATTGCTTTCTTCACTTTAGGATCAAACTGAGGATGCCACACAGTGCAGCTGCCTGTATTATTTCTTTGCGTGCAGCAATGGAAGCTCTCGTGGTAGAAGTAACAAAAAATCCAGAAATCATCAGTGACATAGACCATATGAACAAACAGATGCTGAATGTAATTTCTGAAATCTCTAAACCCCTGGCTGCGGGAATTAATCTTGCAGTAGGTGGCAACATGAGGTTAGTTTCAAGCGGTTAGCTTAGAATCATAATTAAATGCTTATTTTTTGATAATTTGGTTCACCTGAGGTTTGAAAGAAGTCTCCTTTAACCAGAAATTTTACAACATATATATTTTACAAGTACATTGAGATACTGCAACTAAACACCATTTATAGTGAGTATGAAGTAGAAATAGACAGATGACATAATGAATAAACATGGGATCCACAGGAATTCATATTAGTGAACTACTTTGACAAAGAATAAAACAAGTATAACAAAAAGGATTTAAAAATATGATGGCACCAGTCTTTAGTTTCTTTTTTAAAAATGTGAATTTTAAAATACGGTGATTATGGAACACTATTCAGGTACATACATGGATAACGGTACACCTTTTATAAAATAAGTAGTATAGGGAATTTTTGAGTTAGAACTATGATCAAAATGCATTACTGTCTTAAAGACAAAGGCACAGTTTCCTCACACTTCTAATTACTTAAAGTAAGTGTTTCTTGGTATATACGCACAATTGTGTATTTGGAGGATTGTTGCACTTATTCATCTTTGCAGATAACCACAAATAATTTTAATTTTTATTCCTAGGTTTGGCGATGGACCTCGTCCACCTAAAATGGCTCGATATGACAGTGGAGGTGGCTACCGAGGAAGAAGTGGAACTGGCTATCGGGGGGGCTACCAAGGGGGCTATGGAGGTGGATATCGTGGTGGATATAATTCTTACCGTGGTGCTTCTGGGGGAAGAGGATATTCAGGGGGGGCTGGAGGTGGATTTCGAGGTAGCGGAGGTTTTCAAGGTTCAGGTGGAGGATACCAAACTGGAGGAAATAGAGGTGGTGGATTTAGAGGGGGGTGGAGTGGTTACTGAAAAAATGCTAGTGAAGATGTGGTAGCTCTTTGGATCTAAAGCTGAAAAGGAGCTTAAAGAAGTTCAGTCCTTCCTTTGGTTCCATGGAAAGCATTTGATCTCTGGAAAATAAGTTTAGGGTCAAGATGGTGCCAGTAGCCTTGCCACTCCGAAGCATCATTTTGGCTATATTCAAAGCATAGGCATCCTTAAATGTTAGTAAATCCAGAATAAAAGCATGCATGCACTTGTTTTATTCCATACATTTCTTTATTTGTAATACAGATCTCTTCCTGATTTAGGAGTTCATCATACTTTGGAATATTAATTTCAAATGATATTCATATGCAGTATTCACATTGCTTTAATTTTCTATGTTTATTTTGATCCTAATGAAGTTGTTAATTTTTAAGGGATTAGTCCTAGATACAGGCTTGAATTTTTGATTGTTAGTTGTATGATCCAAAACTGTGAGTTGGTTTATGCCTTTGGTCCTAGGATTGCAAGTTAGGAGCTTAAAGTTCTGTTCAAATGTTTGTCACATACTGCAACCTCTAAAATAAAAACTCCAAAAATGTCACAGAATATAGTAAACGTCATTTGTTGAACACCTGCCGAGTAACTAAACTGCCAACTCAAAATACATACCATGTATCCTTTTCTAAAAGAAGTAAAGAGTTCAGCCTCAACTACAGATACTCCTTGGCTTAGGACCATTTGTTCAGCGACTGAAGTTACGAAAATACTGAACGATGGGTGGTTATGACAAGCCCTTGAAGTTCCGGCCATCCCAGCAGCCGGGGCATGTGATTGCAGTCTGGGTGCTTGGCGACCTGTTTGCACTTAGGACCATTGCCAAGTGCCCTGTGATCCCTTGATTGCCATTTGCCACCTTCCCTGCCGGTTTCCCCAGAAAAATCAAAAGGGAAGGCGGCAGGGAAGATCACAAGTCACTGGGATGCGCCCCCCACACCTGTGCACCCTCCTCCTGCCCCTCTGCGCTTGTACTGACAATTTGTGCAGCCTCTCCGACCCAAGCAGCACCTCTTGCAGAGTCTTCTGGTTTCTAACTTGATGCCTTAATTACACCAAACTGTTGACCCGGAATTAGGAGACGGCATAGGAAGTATCAGTTGTGAATACACGCAGATGGCCCTGTTGTCTTTGGGCACTTGCAGAGTCCTGGATGCAGGGTCATGAAAGGACAGCCAGGAAAACACCCAATGTCCTAACCCACCCGGGAACGTACCATATCTTTAGGGAAACACCCAAAAGGGACCATTTTTAGCTACTTCTGCTTTCTCCCTTCTTATCTACAGTGTGCCAGACTTAACTGGGTGAAATCTTTATCTTATGTGTGTCAGCTTTGCTGGGTGGATTGCTTATGTAATCAGAAAGAATAAATACAAGGATTTCTGGTCATTCGGGGCTTCTTCTCTTTTAGAGGAGTCCGTCTTTGTTCAGCTGAATAAAAACGTGAAAGCTTAAAGGCAACTTCTGGTTTCCTGTATTTTTTATCAAGCAGAACCTCAGAACCTGCATATCAACACTGCCTTCATATGCTAGTGGGCATGATTGAAATATTGGTTAACTCTTTGGAGTGTACTCCTGTTTAGTTACATTCTTGCCTGATTTCAGTCGTTTGATGGTCAAGTTGCAGGTACTGAAATAATTGGTTATATTTATTGGCCGTTCCCAGTAGCATTGAGAGAGAATGAGTTCCCGTTGATTAGAAACTTGCTGATATATTTCACAATGTGAGAACTCATGAAATCAGTCCTACCTAATTGAAAAGGTCCTTGCAGGGGTTATAAGAACTCTCTTAATAGCCAGTGAGAATCCTCAGGAACAGTAGTACAGCTTTAAATCAGACCTTGGCTATGTGGACCAAGTTTTTTTTCTGCCAGACAAATACTTAAGGAATGCTTGTTATTCAATGAGGTTGGACTAGACAGCCCATGCATCACTGGGGTGTTTCCCCTTTGTTTCCTTGGTGTATGGGGGTGCGTGGGTTGGGAAGGGTGTCTGAAGAGCGTATAATAAATGCTGTATGCAAGCCAGGGGTGATGATGGGGTGGTGGTGGTAGCGGAAGCGTAGGTCAGGAAGGCTGTGAGGGTATCCAAGCTGCATGGGTTGGGGAAAGTGTGCAGAAGGGCTGCAAGAGGTGTGGGTCAGGGAAGGTGCGAGGCGACGCAAGTCAGGAAGGATGCATGAGGTGCAGAGAAGGTGCTGCATGGATTGAGGGAGGCACACAGACAGCAAGCTCAGGTTGGGGGAACATGGGCGGCATGGACCAGGAAAAGTGTATGGGGTTCCTTTCTCCCTGTTCCTCCCTACCTTCCTTCCCTGCAGATAGGTAAATGGCTGTTGCTGGAGGTGGAGAGGAATGAGGGATTGCAAGACTGGCTGGGAAAGTCACGAAACATTGAAAATGAAGATCATGTGATTGCAGCAGCAGCCAGTAGCATTGATGCAGCTACAACTTTCCCAAATTTCATTTCCTCAGGAGTCATGGATCCTGGATTTTGTTCACATTCTGTAAGTTATCCTATTTGAGGTATCTTGCTTCAAAAACTGTTGCCCTATGAAGCACCCTTTTGCCCTTTTATAGGTTATGATGAGAGTTTTAGAAGTAGATGGATATTGGGGAAAAGCTGGTTGTACAGGAGTTCAGTGTGAAGTGGATGAGCTGAACTTCATAGATACAGCGTATGCTAATGATATTTTCATAGAAGAATCAGAACAGGAACTATCAGCTATAAGCAAGAGTAGAAAGATACACAAAAAAGACCAGAGTTTCAGTTGATGGCACATAGTTTAATCTTGCTCTTAGAGATGAACCAATTGAACAAGTGGATGAATTCAAATACTAGACTGTTCAATTTCTGTAACAATTACTTTCACAACCACTAATTGTTACGCTCAAATGGTTTTCACCAGCTTATTATTAATGCTGCTTCTGGAATATATTAGCCTAGAAAAAAAATCAGGTATTCAATAGCCACTTTTCTATGGAATGGAAATGTGGATAGTTTGCTCAGTACCTATCAAACCTAAAAGTATTTCAGATGTTTGAAGACAATCCTGGGCAAAGTTGCATGATCAATGGTGGAAGCAGGACATATGATAGATAAGAAATCAACAGCTCATAGATGAGAATCATTACTTCATTGATTTGGGAATGGATTTATCATGGGTCCTTGGATGATTGCTGAAAAAACAACAGTTGCTTGGTTGGAAGCTAACAACACCCCACCCCACCCCCAATATTCCTGAATCACCCAGAGACTTGAAACAAAGCAGTTATGTTCTAATGTCACAGGACTTGCAACCTCTGCTCAAGGCAGAAAACATTGGAAGGGACTTATTAGCCATGGCCAACACAGCTCCACCAGCAATATCCTACAATTTATGAGGATTTCTTATCTGCACTAGAACACATGAATGTATAATTTCAGAATGCATAACTTCTAGGAGACAGATCGTTTTTAGTGTCATCTATTATTTGAAAATGAACTAATAGATGCTGGGTTCTTTTCTATCCATGTTCATCTTTGCTAACCAATCTGAATGCTCATCTGAGCAGAAAACTAATGTATAAATTAAATATCTACCCCCTAAATCGGGGGTGCCCCACTGGGGGTGCGAAATAGTATTCCAGGAGGTGCAAAAACTTGGGTTTAGAAATTTCAAAATTATAGTGTATATGCATAATTCAATATTTCAAACTTTTGTAAGGGGTGTGAGAATATATCAGAAGCGTTCTAGGGATATGGGGTATAGAAAAGGTTGGGAGCTGCTGCCCTAAATATTACTCAGCCATAATGAGCTAGGATAGTATATACCATCCCAAATGTCTTATAGCATTCTGCAACTAGGGTTTCAATCACTTTGCTATAAAAAGGGGCGATAGAAATCAAATAAATATGGCCTATAATTACATATACAGGAACACAAAATAGTAGCTATTTGAATAAATTACTGCATTTTTCAGAGAAGAGGGAATTATTTTCTCACCCAATACAATGTTCATTATGCTCATCTATTTTTCTAAGTTGATTATGGCTTATGTTCACTGACCTCAGTGGATAAAGGTCTGAATGTAAACAGATCTGGTTTCTATGTGGTTGGGTTCATCACATTAATCCACAATATGGATGGCATTTTGACTAAGTAACTAATTCATTAAAATAATTAAAATGAATTAAAATTGATTAGTTCAGTAAAATACATTTGCTGCATGTTTCTTAGGGTTTAGCCTTTAGGGCCCTCACAAACAAATCAAATTTATTTGATCTAACTTGTGAAGAGTACAAAGATTGAATTCATTGCCATCATTTCTACCTTATAGGTCTGGGAATGAATCCAAATCTTCCAGTATTGCTATGTAAAGGTCAGAGAACTGCAGCTGTGTAAGAAGAGTTAGATTTACTGGAATATATAATTCTTTTTTTTTTTTTTTCAAGATAAATTTTTATTATTTTCATCGTAAAAAAAAAGAACACATCACAAATACATCACAATGTAAACAAACCCTACCCCCCACCCCCCACCCCCCGGACTTCCCAAACCTAATCCCAGGATACTATTCAACTAAAAGTAAACTACTATTAATATCCCTAACTCCACAAAAATTATTCTACATAAGTAGGTGAAATATATAAGAAAAGAAAACAAATTATCTAAAAGCCTAAATTATATTCCACCATTCTATGCTTATTTTGAATATAAACAATCCATCTTCTCCATATTGATAAAAATTGTTCATTTGAATGATTCTTCAGATAAGCCGAAATTTTTGCCATTTCAGCAAGATGCGAAACCTTCAATCT